CAAATAAGTTCAAACATCCATTCAATATCTATTATTTCCTGAATATTACTGATGAACTGATCAAAAAGTAGGCTACTGTTCACATGCGTTTTACTACTATATAGTATAGTAATATAGTAATAATTTAGTACTTTCTCCTGTTTTATTGTTGGTTTCCTCTTTTCTGATCATTTGGAATGAGGATAAAAAGACAAAAAAAAACATGCAAATAAGTTCAAACATCAATTCAATATCTACTATTTCCTGAATATTATGAAATTCAAGATGGCCGCCCCTGATGACGTCATACTATGCAAATTAGATGAGTATATTTACACCCCACATAAACTTTCGGTCATGCCCAATATTTTTCTAATTTACAGTAGATCTCTATCTTTAAGCCCTTTCAAGCCACAAGCTTTTGAAATCTTGATGTCAAAATCCAGCATTTTTTCCAAAAACCCTGGCGCCTAAAGGGTTAAAGCGAAACACACTGGAATGAATAATTCACTTAAAACGCAATGTGAGTCTCTGTTCTCTCTGCAATCTCTGATGTAATCAGCCTGGTTTCCTTCATATTAGCGCGGTTTTGGACAGATTGTTTGAATGCATTCGCTTACTGGATCGTTGGACTGAAAACTTTCCCTGAGTTTAGCGGCTTAAAATTATCTAATCGCAAGCAGAGAAGCAAAATTGGGTTAAAGGGTTAGAATAGAAATCGTGCTTCAGTAATTTTGCATTAATTGCGTAAAATTATTTGAACGCGTTAAGGATTGTAAAATTAATCGCACGATGACAGCCCTAATATATATATGCATGTATGCATACAATGTAAAAAGTAAAAACCGCCAAATAAGGTTTACACATAGTTATGTTATGATACGTAATCAGAGGGGGGGGAGATGGGGGGATTCCCCCGGTCTATATGTCTCTCTGCATCAGTTAAATTCTTTTTTATTCACAGTGAATAGGAGTTCAAATTCCCACCCGGGTGACATAACAGACCATGCAAAATGCCCAAAAGTATTTAAAATATTGCAAAGTAATGTTGCAACCTTGCAAACAATATGATGTTTGTTATTATTAAAATTGTATATAGCCCACGTTTTTAT